AAATAAACCTTTTCTTGATATTCCAATGTTAATGCATTATTTGATTTTTTACTAATGTCATCTATTTTTTCTGTTTTTTTTTGAAGCCTTTTGAAACCCTTTAGTAGTGTCGCTAAGGGACGCCATTGACGTTCGTCGATGTCTTTATTAGTCATCTCTGTCAATTGAAATACACTGATGTCTTCATTAGTCATTGCTGTCAATTGAAATATATGTATATTAACAGGGTTAAATACTAAAAAAAGCCAAAAACGATTAAACCCTTTGAATAAATTTACCGGAATATTTAAACCTTTCGTTGCCGAAGTTCACTTCTACTGATCCGCCTTGCGATCTAAATCCAACGCAAGGGTATAGATTGCCTTCCAAATCGTTAGGTAGATGGCAAGCAATTCCTTAAAATATTTTATAATTATTGAATTTGTCTATTTATTTTAAAAAATATAAATTTCAGTTTCTAAAATGGTGGTTACCCAAGTTAATTCCATTTTTAGTATAAAACACTATCTTATTTCTACAATTTAGATAGCATCCAACTACGTCATCAGTAGTATATCCAGGAGGATATGATAAATCGTATAGCCCACCACTTCCTGAGCAAAATGAGTATCCATCGTCACCATGGTAGCCGCACCCCCATGGTTCATTTTCCTCGCTTTTTTTATTTTCCGTATTTTTCTTATATTCCTGCCCTAAAGCATATGATATAAATGTTAATCTGTAATAATAAGAAAATAAAATAAAAAAATTGCTATTACCAAGCATGAGCATATTATTTATATAATCTAAATCATCTATTTTTTCATCGCTTTGTTTTGTGCAATATCCAATTCCAATCATTCTATGAAGAAAATAGAATTAAAAAAAATTATAAAAAATCGCAAGAACAAAAGTGGTGTTTATGATACGAAATAATAATTAATATTACCCATTTTTTCCTTTGTTTATAATTTTAATTTCAAAGTATAATATCCCACACTCTGAAGGGATCGGATGATTTGCTCGAATGATAGCAGCTTTAAAGTCATCAGGATCTTTAATTTAAAGGGATTTTAATAAATTTTAAAAAAAGCTATGATATTCTTTAAATGCTATGATATTCTTTAAATGCTAATGATTATGTTTCTACGGGATTTCTCATTTCCATATTACCTGTATAAATCACTTTAAGTCCACTTGAATCTATGTCAATAAATGGTGATTTATCTTTAATATCCCATGCCGTCGGTAAAACAATATCATTGTACGAAGTTATTAATTCTAAATCTCCCATTGCTACAGGGTAAAATTCAATTCAGATCTTCGTTTACGAACTGTAATTTATAGAAATATTATCGAACACAATGTTCTATTTATGCATGCGTATTTACATATCAATATATGCAGTGTCCATGCACATCAGCAGATACGAAGTTTTGTCAGACATAAATTATCGATAATAATAATTCAGTGTTAATGGTTAACGTTAACTGTTAACTGTCGTGCGGGTTTGCAATAGGACCTTTCCTACTGCTAATCTAGCTCAAATTGCGGGCGCTTTCGAGTCCACACAACGCTGAAGAAGACACCGTATCACCTTTAAAACTACGACGACATTCAGGATCACGGCGCACAATTGCTCAATAACCGGTCAGTATTTTCTTTATTACGAATTTTTTATTGTTAATGAGAAAGAGAATACTTTGGATTACTAATCCCTCTGTTTTCTATTTGATTTTATCAAACTAAAAATTAATGATTCGTTTTTTTTAATGCACAAGCAGGCTCTATATGATTACGCACTATGAATTTTTTTGTGATTTTAAAAAGGACATTTTTTAAAAAATTTGCTTCCGAATTCACCCTTGGTAGTTGTTACCAACCAATCAAACAATGACGAACCAATCCTAAAATACCTGAATATATCAACAAACGTCTTTCTACAACTTAGCATAGCTGTTTTATCAATTTTTTTTTTTTTTTTTTTTATTTTGTCTAGACACTTTAATTAGTTGTATGAGTGCTTCGTTTGTTACTTTTCGATGTTACAAAAAATTCGTGTATCTTTTAGTCTAAAAAAGGCCCAAAAATCGGCCGATATGGGATTCCGAATCAACTTTGTGTTACAAATGGAATTCTAAAATCCATTTAACGTTAACGTTAATAAGTGGATTAACTTAAAATTTATTTATAATCAAATAAATAAATTCTTATTTGTCAGATCGCTCTATACTGTAATTTTTAAAAATGACAAAGTTACAAGTATATTCATTTTTATCTCGCAATGCATTTGAAAAACTTTCTAAATTTCTCGATGGAGTTAGTTGACGTCGTAAAACCTGTATTAATGTTCTTCAAGATCTATTAAGTACAATTATTGAAACCGCTATAATCATTATTAGGGCAAAACATTCAGTTAATAAAGTCTTGGAATATTGACAAATTCTGTGTTATTAAAGTTGAATCAAATTTTCCGGTATGTCCTGTCGAAAGAATATAAGATATATATACATTGTATATAGTTTACATTAAAGATGATCATTTGTCCCCAAAATTAAACTTTAGTTACCAAATTACATATTAAACCCAGAAAAATTTTTTGGACCTCCGATCTAGACTGATAACGCGTCTAACCCATCTTCCCCACCTTTGTTAGACATATAAATTTATTATAACGACGCACCCTAACCGGGGAAACATTGATTATCTCGGCCAAAATCTATATTTACATATATATTAATAGTCAAAAATTTCAAATTTTGGGGTATTTCATAAATTCGCTGCAATGTGGTTCTTCAAAACTATGGGATGCGGTATGTATATAAATTCAACCTTTAAAAGTTTAATTTTACTTTACGTTTCGTGATCATTCGTTAAAGAAATTGAACGAATTGCACAAGACGAAGTTTTTCAATCCATTTGCGGAAAAACCATTAATAAATTCTTTAACTAGTTCAGAACGGAAATTTTAATTATATCTATATGAACTAAATTCACAAGCACAATTAGTAATATAAATCGCTGTAAAAAGGCAAAACTGCCTTGAGGAAGTAGTTGTTGTCACAATAATACACATGTAATAATTAGTGTAGCTAGAATATATGGTTGGAATATATGCGTAAATAATTTTGCGATATATTGCAATTCAAACGCTTTTAATTTTTAAATTGAATATGCGCTAAGTAGATTCAGAATTAGTTTTAAATTAGTTTGAAATTCTTTAACGATTTGAGTGAATTTTTAAAATTTTGGTTCAACTTGAGTGTTCTAAATCTAGAGTAACATCTGCAATAATTTTATCAACGGAAACTATATTTAGATTTAGAGTTTATCATCACTATTCTTTTACATAATCATGTCTAATACCTAAGGGTACACACGTGAGAATAATAAAATTATATAACGTAAAAACGAAACTTGAATTGAAATCAATCAGAAATAAAATCTTAGTAATTAATAATTTATTAAACGTAAATGTTTAATAAAAAATAATTGGACTAAATCCTTTTGTACTATATCGATACAAAAGATTATTATTATTGATTAATTAATTTACAATGTAACGTTATCTATCATTAGAAATCATTTAATTTCGTTCAATTATACTTTGGTTAGCTAGATTGCGGTTCGAGTAGAATTTCACGTGAACGGCTTTTTTTTTTTTTTTTTGAGTATTGGCCATGGAAAATTTCTTGATTGATAATTTCAAACAAGTTTAAAATTGAGTAGCCTGTCTTCTTATAATAATAAACAGGTTTAAGTTCGATACCCGGTTGGCGCTAAGTGCCATTAAAGGGCTGGAGTGGTTGGGTAAATGGTACTGTGTCGGTTTTTTTTTTCTAATTGGATTTATTTCGGGGAGGGAATGGCCAAATAAATGGCCAATTAGAGAATGTAAATTTTGACCAGCCCGGCGTATGTATGAAAGAAAAAGAAACAAAATTCGAAAACTAATGTTTAAACCGACCATGATGTACTAACTAAAAATGACAGGAACGATATGCCAAACCATGGGTATAAACCTGCGATCTATTTAGTGACCATGGTATAATTACACATAAAATTTAATAAAAATAAAATTTGCTATTTTAATTAAATATTGGCTTATGTTTAAAACTAAATGCTGTTTTTATCGCGATCTTTAATAATTAAACCGTTGAATTTCTCAAAAAGGAGCGGTGATGGTAACTTTAAATTATTAACAAATCATTTCCTTTAAAAAAAAAGTTCGACCTATTAACTCATTTTCCGTAAAATGAGGGTTCCTCGAGACAGCCGCAATTAGGAATGCTTCGGTCCTCGAATACCAGGTTCGGATTTATAGACATACTTTCGCCTGATTGGTTTATGTAAATCAATTGCCCGGGTGACACTTTAAAAAGTACTTTTATGCAAAATAGCCGTTAAGACAAAAATACTTACGGTATATCTCATGATCTACTGGGCCGATTTTAATTATTTAGAAGTTGAAAAAAGGTTAGCTTAGTAAAAAATGTGCTTTCTTTAATTTCAAAAACAATACTACTTTTTACTATGTTTTGTTATGTAATTGAATAGACAAAAAATGCAAAATTACTTTTATATTTTAATATTTGATGCATCAAGAAATTAACTTTGTATCATCATCATAGAAATTAAAGGTCTGTCGCTTCGTTCCAGACAATAACGATAATTAACATTTATAACAATAATTAATATAAAACTTTATTTATAATAATAATTAACATAAAAACTTTATTTGCAATGATATTTATTATTTATAACGATAATTATTATAAAACTTTATTTACAACAATAATTAACATAAAAACTTTATTTATAACAATAATTATTATTTAAAATAATAATTAAAAAAATAACTAAATATTATACCTTTTATAGCTTCATAAATATATAGTTCAATATCGACTTCGAATAAACAATAAACCTTCAACCCAGTAAAAAAAAAAAAAAAATATGAGTAATCGAAGTGATGCTAAGTGCCCCAGGAAGTCACATGTCAACACACATAGTGGCGAGAACTATTTAGAATATAAGTTGCCCCATACTCGACAATCATTCTCCTTGGTATTACCAAGGCCACTACCTACGTAGGTAACCTGGAGCCCAGGAGCGGTTACTGTGGGGCATCAAGTTAATATATTAACGCAAGATCAATTACTCATCTTTTATGCCTTTTTAACTCGACCATTACACGATGACGATAAAATAAAAAAATATAAACTGTGTATAATAAATCATTAGAAAAAAAATTGTGGAAAAAAATAAACTTATAAGTACGAATGAAGAAAGATATTAAAAAATATAAATATGTAATTCTGGAGATAAAGAGAGATAAGGGAAAAAGTGATCTATATATACCTTTTTTTATCGACACGTTGTTTGGTGATTGCGATTTTACAAATTAGATTCAAAACAGATGAACACGGTACAAATTAGGTAATTACAGAATTATTGAAAAAACGGATGAACGTGGAAGCCATATGACCCGTCAATTTAGTCTATACTCAGTTATACTTCATAGGTCTGATTGGCTGATGTAAATCAATTGCCCGGTTAACTTATTTATACACTTTTCGAGAACGTAATGTTTCACTAATAAAAAATCACTGCAAAAGCCATTTTTCGCTTCGTTAGAACGTCTATATTCATTGTGCAAAAATAATCAAAAATAATCAGTAACCACAAGAACTTCACTTAGAAGCGAATATTTTTACTATTTATTGTAATATTAGTCATATTAACTGTATGTCAGCTCTAAATGCTGGAAACGGCCAACAAAAAAAAAGGAAGATTGAGACGTTACGTGTAAGATCTAAAGAACTTTGTTATTCCGTCTAACATGCTATTATAATAAAAAGCTTATACTAATGCTCTTATTTTATGTATTTTGAGTTAAAACATTAGTAACTTCGGGTTAAGTAATAAGGTTGATAATATGTACGGTCTATGAGTATTATTGTTTTATTAATTATATGGGCTAAAGGTTGTGTTGTATCTCTAATAAAGGTCATTGTAATGAAATAAATTTGAATTACTTTGATTTTTTCAAAAGATTATAAATATAAAGAACAAAGATAGTTTCGCTAATAATTTATTCATGTATTAACTCTAATGAGTTGGTTATTTAATAATAAATATTACATTCATTCAACTTTACAAGTATCTATCTGTTTTCTAAGCTTATGCGATGAATTCTTTGTATGTAATTATTGGTTTGTAAGCTTCTTTTTTTCGTTTTCTAGTATTAAAATGATATAAATGTTTTAAAAAATGATGTAATTTGATTGGTTAATTATCACGGGCAATCACAGGTAGATCGACAAAAATTAACCAATCATATAAATGTCTTCTTATGAACCTCGTGCCTTTAAATTTGCATTATCGGGACCAATTCTGAATAATTTTATTATATCGAGTCTGTGATGACATAAATTAAAAGCCCAAAGCTTAATATTGTCTTTAAATAATGAAAGCAATGAAAGCAATAACTTTTTCTTTTTTTTTCAAAAAAAAAAAAAACCTGGATTTTTAAAAAATAAATTACCTATCAATAAAATAATGCTATATATATATATAGTATTATATTTAAAACTTGCTATTAATATTTTAAATTAAAATAAAAATAACCGGTGGTGATCATCATTGCCTTTTATTTATGGTTAGAGTACAATTTAAAATATATAGGAGGGTAATATAATAGTTCAGTTTTGGGGTTCTAAACATTTTTTGCTTAGTATTTCTATCAAGTGGGTTTTTGAGATATAGCACCCTGGTGATAATCACCAACAGTTGTAGTTAGTAATATTCCTTAAAAAATTTATTAATTTAGTTGAGATATTATTCTTCTTGCACAAAACAAATAATTGGCTTTTACTTTCATAAATTCCCGTGTTAACTATAGTATTTCATTTTTAATTTCAAATGTTGTGCGGAGTTTCGATCATGGTTAAAAACCAGGTATCGATTTCAAAATGTATTTCCATATACAGCATCTGTGGAAATCGAAATTTAGATTAGTAAAAATTAAAATTCCGATTAGAGTGGGTCTTAAAACTCTGGAAATCTGAAAAATTTCTAATGATATGGTGATCTGCAATCGTTCACCTTTCTGATACCTTTTTGAAAACAGCCATAAAACTCCGATTAATGTAGAGCTGGTCTTGAAAACTCAGTAAATCTGGAAAATATCGTGATCTGTGACCATGTTAAAACTATTAGAATTTTGAAGGAAATTTTGTCGAAAAGTTTATTATTTACGATTCGAAGTTTTATTTTGGAGGTAAAAGCTTTCACTTATTGTGTACATATTCGATATACTGTTAGATCTAACATATCTTTTTTATTCAAAATTTCATGTTTAGTCGTTAAATCACCCTAAAGTTCATAATTTTCTTAATTTGAAATGAAAGATTCAATAACTTATAGCATTGATTTAACAAATTCTAATTTGACATTATTTACTAAAAATTGGACATATTTAGGTTTGGTTATTCCAAATGAGGTAGAAATCTGAGTCGCAACCTTACTAATTACAAGCCGCAAAACATCTTAGCAGTCAGTAGTTCATCAATCCAGCTAACCCAATCAATGTTATCTAATTTCAGCATTCTTCTCATCTGATCCGTATGTTTAACATCATCCCAATTCTTCTTAAGAAATTGTAATACCGTCTTTTTTAAATATTCATTTTCAATCTCCAAACTGTAAATTAAAATCTCATCCATATTCGTAATATTCAAAATTTCCGAAAACCTCTTGATTACCATTTGTTGTAACTTTTCAATTCTACGCATATCAGCCTCCAAATAAAGATTTTTAAGAATTTCTAATGATAAACCTTCTTCTAATCTATCCGTATAAAGATAATATAGTACCGCATGAAAAGATTCAAACTTTGTATTTTTTAATAGAATTGTAGAAGCAGTTGATTCTTGCCATTCACCCCCAAATAATTTTTCAAAATATTCAGATCTAGAAGCTAATACTATACGACCAGCACGAATTTTTCGACCACAATCAAATTCAAATTCAATATCGTTATAAAGTTCGTTTCCAAAATAATTCTCGAATGAAGTTAAGAATGGTTGTGAGGGTTGAGGAACCATTTGATCATCGTAAAATATATGTACAGTAATTACTAATTCAGTTGGAGTAGTAGCTGTATTTGTTCCATTAAAAATATCCTTAATTCCACAAATATTTCTTCTACCATGAGAATCACATGTTGAAAGATTAAATATTGTTTCTTTTGAAACGGCACTTCCGAGTTTAGTTATTCGTTCAAGCGCTAATGATTCCATTGAGTTAATTCGAAATAAGTCTATTCGGTATCTAATCAATCTCGATGATGTAGACATGGATTTTTCATATTCTGATGGGAATGCTTTAAGATAAATTGATAAGCATCCATCAACAGAATTTTTTCCATGAGGATAAAATTTTAAACGCCACGTATGCATTGGTTTTTTGAGACCAGTTCTTGGTTCAATGTAAACAGGTTTCGGAGAACTAAATCTATCACTCATGATGTATTTTCCTTTGCTCATACTTTGATAAAGGTCTTGAAAGTCCTTTATCTGCCATACGTAGGTAGGCTCATCAATTAATTTTTGAGATTCTTCTTTGATATTTGACATATTTTCCTAATCAAAAAGGTGCTTAAATGACATAAAAGTTATAATAATTAAAAAAATTATACAATTTTGAATAACGTGAAACAGAAAGAAATCAGAAATTAATCAATTCAGTACTTACGTGGTACATCACTATTTATAATCAAGAAAACTGAAATAATTTGCTGTATGTAAATTCCCGCGTATTCTTATGATGACATATCATTACTATTTTTAGCAATCTCCAAACAATAAAAAATTTCACTATACAAAGATATATAGTATGAAATTTGAAAATCTCAATTTACCACTGAATTACCTTCCATTTGCACAAAGCGTAATAAAACATAATTCTTAATTGGTATACTCTCCAAGATATTTAAATTTGCAGATTCCAAATTTCGAAATACCGAATCAATAAAAAGTAATACGTACAGTACATCGGATTAGTATAAGGAAATAAAACATACTTTTCACGCATATGAACAAGGAAAATAACAGTTAACAAGCTCTAAGCTTGATTAGCTCATCATTACGTTTATAATATTTAGAGAATGACTTACTTATTTTGGCAAAAGATTACAATGAAACTTTATCGTTATTAGCTGAAAAATAAATCTTAATTTTCTTTCACGTGAATTTGATACTTGCTAATAACTCATACAGGAAATCCCGAGTCGGCTAAATGAATAAAATGAAAATTCTATGTGCACTTTATGGGTTGAGTCAATAGAAACCAAGCAAATATTTTTAATAAGTTTTTTTTTAAAACTTTAAACAAGAATAACTTAACAAAACTTAATCAATTTCAATTATACAAGTTCGTACGTAAAAATTTTTAAATTTGATCAAGTTTTTGTTAAGTTATTCTTGTTTATAAAAAATTTTATTATAAAATATTTGCTTGATTTCTATTGATTCACCCCTATATATATAAATCTTTAAAATTTGTGTACGGAAAGAAATATCTATGTACGTAATTATCTTAAGCGCATCTTCAATTTTATACACTGGTCGGAATTCATAGGTTGGGCCAGAATTAAATTTTGTGGTTCCCTATAATTTCCACATTATTTTCTCCGACAAACACTTCCTCAAAAAAATTCTACCAATAATCATTTCCCGACAATTTCCTTTCTTTCTTCGACGTTTTTCATTTCCCCGACAATCGTTTTTACAATAATTGTTGGGGAAATTGCTGTCAGGGAATGAAAATGTCGAAGAAATAAAAGTGTCGGGGAATTGGCTGTCGGAGAAATGAAAGTGTCGGGGAAATGATATGGAACCCAATCTATCACTAATGAAATCATAGCCATTTATTAAGTGCGTACGCATTAGAGATCTGTAGGACAGACCTGTACCCATGCCTAACAAAATGCATAGGCAAGGCACAGGCACAAAATTTTAGGCATGAACATGGCACAGGTACAAAAATTTGGCCAAGAACTTTTGTGCCCTGACACCTTATGTTCGTGTCTTAGTAGTGCCTGGTATTCTGCGCCCGTCCCCATAATGTATCTGACAATTTTGTATCTATGGGCACAGCACAGCACAATCTGTCTGGTCTGATGCCCAATATGCCTGGCATAGACATTTACAGAACTCTGGTACATTCGTACAAAATGCCAGGCTGTTGGCCGATATTGCTTATGCCAGCTCTGTTCCGGTGAATTCCAGCTTGGAATTTTGTAAAAATGTTCGAGAACACTTTAATTTAAATCAATATTAGAACAAGATATTTTATTTTATTTTATTTTCTCATAATTTTGACTGTTATTTTACCAGATTTATTGGTTGAATTCATCTGATAATTTGGTGAAATACCAAGATTCATTTATACAGTTGAACCACCCAAAACTGTGACAGTATTGAGCAGTGCACTAGACATTGTTCCCAGAAATATATAATAACTTACCCGGGTAACCCGGATATTTTCGGGTAGCGATTTTCTACGAGTACAGTCTCTAATTTATACCAGCATTGTTTTATACAGTCATTGATTGACTCGTAGAAAACAAAAATATATCACTAGATGCTAGTGAACAATCCACTTTTACGCGTATAATGTAAATTTATGATGAAATAGACTTTAGGCATTCGTACTGTCATGTTAGTGTCAACTTTGGGAATGCGATCCGTACTTATAATAATATAGCACGCCATATCCTCAATGTTTATAACATTTTGATATTAAGGTGCATAACTTTTTCTTCAAGTACTTTATTGTACCAGCAGATATTTTTGGCATTTTAATTCCTTTGGTCTTTTTCGAGTCTTTCAGCAAACAGATACCAACATTTTTTTTGGTATACATTTTTCCTCCTGGTTTTTCAGTTTTGATTCCTTGTTCTTGTTTCTCAATCATTATTATCAATTGCTCACTGGGCATATTCAGCCCTTTTATTAAACTTTTTCGCAAACAACATAAATTATTTATTATTCCCGTTAGTTTAATAGCAAATTTTTTAGTGGGAGCTTTTTAGGATGGTAACACTAGTCTTATTTTATGGCGATGTTATCACCGAATCAAGTGGAGGTCCTTGGTGAAGTACTGTAAATTACCGGATAAAATACCTGGGTCTAGTACATTTCACCAATCTTAAAACCTATAATAAACCAGTAAGTCTCTTGTATTAGCCGACCAGGATCCTGATGCACTGTATGAGGTCACGATTTTTTATCATTTATTTCCGGTAACGATATCATATGATTTACAACTATCATGTGGCAGTAAAATTTCATATTCTGGTGGGTCGGGTGCCCGGGTTGTGATCATGGCCACCCGGGTTGCCCGTCATAGAAGGACTTTAATCTGATTGGTTAATGTAAATCAATTGCCTGGGTAACTTATTTATACACTTTAGAGTACTTTTTGAAAACGTAGCGTTTCACTAATAAAAAGCCACCTTAAAAACCATCCTAAGCTTAAAACTAGCATTAATATTCACTATGCAAAAGAATCCAAAAAGAATCTAACTTTTGAGAGACCTTACTTATAAGACAAAAATGCCTAGTACTAGACTATGTGCAATTATCATATGCAAAATTCAAATATTAATTCATTGGAAAAAGATGACTGAAAACGTTATTGAAAAAGGACAAACTAACAATACTTTACCTTCTTATATATATTTAAACAATACTATTTGTCTAAATTGTTATAATGAAATAGTAACTAAAAGCTTAGTTAGATTTAACAGCATGCCTATGATATGAGACAAGATAAAGGTAATCAGTTTGATGAAGCTAAAAGTAGGCAGCATAAAGCTAATGAGGCTAAAGAGGATGAGATTACTAATGATATATTACAATTAGAAAATGAGGTTGATACTAACCATTTGTCTTTTTCCAAAGTTATAAAAATAATAATGAAAATTTTGTATAATTGTGAGAATAAAGGGAAAAGGTCAATAATATATACATTTGATAAATTTTGTTTTTTTATGGAAGAGAAAGATAAAAGGTTAAAGTTCTTTTTTGATGAATTGTACCTCTCATATAACCTATTTTCAAAAAATAAAGATTCACAAGCATGGGTGAAAAAGCAGCTTTTATTCATATACTACTTTCTTTGTAGTATCAAAAATAAGTTTGTTAATGATTTTAAAAGAGATTTAACAATATATTTGAATTTAACTAGTGCTTCTAACATTTCTATAGACACATCTGTAGATTTAGGTGTTACAGTTATGTTCCATACAATCATGCAAACTAAGAACTCTGCATCTAAAGAATATACAAAAATTATTGATTTTGAACTTAACCAATATGCTACCAATACAATAGTATTAAATATTGATGATTATTATAGTATTCACACAAAACAAATGCCAAATACCACTACAATATCTACTATTGCACACTTAGCAACAATTCTCATAAATCTTATTACCACTTAGCCTGCAATTCCAAGAGTAAATTTACACAATCCCACACTAGTCAATGCTAATTTAATTAAAATGAATATAACAAATAGATTTATAACACCTTTTGGTTTTTCATATAATCAATATTGGAGATTTTATATTGTTAATAATAATACAAGATTTGATATATATCTTATAATATTAGGTTGAAGGAAAAACACAATGTTCATTTAATAAAAGATATTATTCTTATTGATCTACAAGAAAATAATCTTCATTCTTTAAAAGATTATATTAAAGCTATTAATATTGGTACAGAAATTCTATCTTTGCAGCAATATATTAACAAAGAGTATATTATTCCTTTTATTGCAAATTGGTCTGGACAAATTTATCTCAGAACAGCTATTTCATGCTATTTGTGTTATTATGGTTCATCAAACATTATTGATAATATTTTGTCATTTTTTCCTATTATGGGTTCTTTGTATATTTTACTAAATAGCTAAGAATTAGTATTTCTTCAATATTAGCTATTCTTTTTTGCAATATACAAGCATATTTTTGAGAAGAAGAAGCCTTTTGCAAAAAATCCTAAACCATGGTGTATCAATTTTTTTTTAAAAATTTTTCACAATATATAGCAAGAAATTTCTGCAATAGTTGAAGCCAAATTCTGATTATTGTGCAAAGATACTAAATATCTTGATTTAAAAATCTTCTTAATAATACAATTCCTCTTATTCTAAATATTTATACTGTATTTTTTTGATCTGATAACTTTAATGCTTATTTTGAATCTTGTTTTCATATCTGGACAATATTCTTTAGATTTCATTGTAAAAATTATTTCAAGATGTCTTTAATGTTTCTCTCTAATATATTTTTCTAGAAGCTAAATGATCATTTAATTTTAGAGACTATAAAGGCAGAACTTTCTAAATTTTTAGACTCTACTATTGAGATATTCTATAGCTTTTTGCAATAAAGTATACAAAAATATATCAAAGTATAGCAGATTATTAAATATAAGCATTATATTAATCAGTTGTATTTAGAGGACAATGAATTCAGTGAAAACTTTATACATATGTTGATATGGGCAGCTTATAAGTATTCTGCATATAATATTGCAATTTTAATAAAAAAAAGTGTATATTTTCTTTTACAGTGTTTTTTAGAGATTTATATATACTTATTTCATTACAAAATTTCATTATTTCATTAACTATAAGTTGATCCGAATTCACTACCTTCAAAGAAAAGAAAAAAAGAACCCAAGTATAACTCTATCCTATTGGTGGCAATAAAAATGCCAGAAGCACAATTATACTACCTTTCTTTGGATTTTAGTTCTTTGCATAAGCCAAACCCTTTTAGTCATTGCAATATATCTAATTGTTATTTTACTTTTTTTTCTATTAATGCAGATATAGTTATCATTTTAGCCTGTGGCCATATATATCACAACTCTTGCTACATTAACAATAGGTTCATATGCTTATATTGTCTTGAGTTTCTATATGAAGGTATCAACAAATAGGTTCAGTTGTTGTTAACTTGTTTAAAAGAGAAAAGCTCTAAGAAAAAATAAAATAAAAAACATGATAATGATTCTTTCAATGGTGATGATAATAATGAAAATAATTTAGTAAAATATTCAATATTTGAGTTAGAAAAAGTATTGCAAAAATTTCAATCATTACATTAATGAAATTTTTTTGTATACAAATTTTATATATATATTTTTTTAGTATTATAACTTTATTTTATTAAATTAATTAAATTATTAAAAATCATTACTAATAAATTATTACAAATTTATTACTTTTTTATTATATTAATATGCATTATTATATGTATCAATATGATTGGTTTAATCTTGAATAATTCATACCTTCATAATTATATAAATTTATCTATTGATTCTGGCCTAACATATGAGTACAAACCATGCTAACTAAAGCTATGCAAAGTTAATTAATTGGTTCTTATAACCTGGCTGGATCAAATTTTAAAGATTTTTATAAAAAAAATTTTGTTTTAATACTAGGTATTTTTAAAATAATTTTAATTTTATAAAACATTATATATATTACTATATCTGGTTGTCGAAAAATTGGCATAGTAACTTAAGAAAATGCAAAATACATGATATGAGTTTAAGCATTAGAAGTAACCATCATATGATAGTTGCTTGGTTACATAAAAGAATTAGAGAAGACAACCAAAGCAATGCCCAAAGAAGGCAAGCAAAACATAAAAGAATCTGCATAGACATAGATAAAGTTGAAGAGCAAGATTGGAAAAACTTTGCTAAAAAGATAGATGAGATTCTTAAAACAAAAACAACCAAGCTGAGAAATATGAATAAAGCAAGTAAAGAAATGCAGACTCTGCAAACCCAAAAAAAAATAGACAGTGAGTGGGAT